GGGCCGAACTTTGGAGAGGCCAGGAGGAGGGCACAGGAGAGGAAGGCCTGGAGAGCTGAGGAAGAGGGCTCTGAATGCTGAAGGAGGCTGGGCCCAGGCCACTGGGCCACGTCATGCCCGGACACCACCGCCGGCCTGGAAGGAGCAAGCACCTGGTTCCCAGCAGCAGCCCGGAAGCCCACAGAAGGGGCAGGAACTGCACCCTGTGTCTGCAGGAGAGGCTGCTGTGAACGGTCCTCCACGCTGGGCCCTGAGCCCAGGTGGGGCCTAGCCAGCTTCTTATCACAGCTGACAGGCCGGAGAATTCCAACTCCAGGAGCCCTGGGCTCTGAAGCCCCTGGAGCCAGTGGCCCTCTGGGCACGGGACCAGAGGCAGAGAGTCCTCCCAGCTGGAGTCCTGGGGGATCCTCCTGCTTAGTGAGTGCTGCCCTCCATGTTGCCCAAGCGTTGACAACAGCCACAGATAGTGTCACATGTCTGTCCATGCTGGAGGTAGCTGGCCAGAGCACTGTGGAGACAGGGCGCCAGGGACCGAGCTAGCTGCTGCGCAGGTGGGGGCTATCCGAGGGTCCTGGGAAACGGCTCGGTCTTGCTGGGGCTGCAGAAGGGGCAGGTGGAGGGGTCCTGTGTGGGCTCCCGAAGCCCCTCCCTGGCTCCATTGGGGGAGTTCCATGGAATAGAAGGAGCTCTGCAGGACGGGGCTGCTGGAGGAAGGGCTGATGGCCAGGAGGGGCTGTGGGGCCGGGGCGTCGTGCCCACTCTAAACCCAAGCCCCAGCAGTGTCTCAGGCCGGGCTCAGCCTCCCGACTTCATCACCAGCCCTCGGTGGTGGTGTGTACCCTGGGAAAGAGCCGCCCTGACACCCTGGGCGGGAGGTTCCGGGCCCCAGGCGCAGATGCCATCTCCGTTGGCAGGCCTGGCAGGGCGGGGCCTGCTGCCCTGACCTGTGGCCCTGTTCCCAGGCTCCTCCTGCACTTAGAAACTTTCTGGAGCAGGGAAGGGACAGCCCAGTGCCCTGGGAAGCGCCCTGTGCTGCCTCCTGCACGGCTGAGTGGTCCTCAGGGAACAGGCACAGTGGGTAGAGAGAGCTGCGTTTGCTCCGGAGGCCGGGTGGGTGGCAGGGGGTGGGGGACGGGAGGATCGAAACCAGCAGGTAGAAAGGCCCGAGGGCTGTTTTCGGGAGTATTTCACCAGACTGTGAAGGTGCAGACGGTGCCGTGAGGTTGGAGGCCATGGCTGTGTCCAGGAGGTGGGCCACTGCCCAGGGAGCTGCCCAGGGCCTGACTCCCCTGACCCACCCTCCAGGGACCATGCTGGGCCTCTGCGCCTCTGTGCAGCCGCTGCTCCGAACCCTGGGACCCACCATCGGTGGCCTCCTGTACCGCAGCTTTGGCGTCCCCATCTTTGGCCACGTGCAGATTGCAGTCAACACCCTTGTCCTCCTGCTCCTCTGGAGAAAGCCCTTGCCCCAGAGGAAGGACAAAGTCTGGTGACCGCTGCCCAGACACAGACTGGCAATAAATTCCTAATAAACTCCTCCGACCTCTTCCAGCCTGGTTTCTGCAGGCTCACGCAGGCCTGCCTGCGTCCTCTGGGGAGGGATGCGGCTTCCAGACTGGAGGGCTTCCTAGAGGAGGGGGCCTACAGCTGGGCAAAGCTCTGGGGAGGACAGAACCACCCAAATTGGTTCCCAGTCATTAGTGTAGCCCCGAGCCTGCTCACAAAGGCACCCCCTGCTGCCACACAGACCCTCTTGCTCACACCCCAAGCAGTGGGGAGCTCCTGTCCAACCCCCTGCCCACAGTGTGCCTGCCCAAGAGCAGAAACGGTTGCTTAAAAAGATCAATCCCAGAACTTTGGGAAACTGAGGCAGGCGGATCTCGATCAAGAGATCGAGACCATCCTGGCCAACATAGTGAAACCCCATCCCTACTAAAAAAAAAAAAAAAAAAAAAAAAAAAAAAAAATCAGGGAACTAAGGCCTTCCTAGATGGAAGGGAAATTGCCCTCACTCTGCTGGACAGCACAGCACATACCCAAAACTGATCCTTGAACTAACTGCACCAGGGACAGCCCAGCACACACCCAAATCCTGGTCCCAGAACTGTACCAGACACGCTGCCAGCCACCCGAACCCCAGAACTGCACCAGACATGCTGCCAGCCACCCGAACCCCAGAACTGCACCAGACACGCTGCCAGCCACCCAAAACCCAGAACTGCACCAGACACGCTGCCAGCCACCCGAACCCCAGAACTGCACCAGGGATGCTGCCAGCCACCCGAACCCCGGAGCTGCACCAGACACGCTGCCAGCCACCCGAACCCCAGAACTGCACCAGACACGCTGCCAGCCACCCAAACCCCGGAGCTGCACCAGACACGCTGCCAGCCACCCGAACCCCAGAACTGCACCACGGAAGCTGCCAACCACCTGAACCCTAGAACTGCACCACGGAAGCTGCCAGCCACCCAAACCCCAGAACTGCACCACAGAAGCTGCCAGCCACCTGAACCCCA